ATTCACCAGATTACAGTAAGAGATTCATCCTCTTGCATTGCTGTAAACTAGAAGTCCACCATTGTGCTCACTGAGCTCTAGTCAGGATTCAGCAGGTCTGGATTGCTCTCGGCAGGGTATAGGGGAGAATCTTGTTGTTGTCTTTTCAGTGGCTGTGGCTGTGCCCCTCTCTTCTTTGGCATGATCATATTTTCCTGTCACTGTTGCACTGGCTCCCTCCCCTCCCCCTCATATTACACTAGACACTGATACTCCAGGCTGTTCAATCCAAGCTAAGGCCATCTGATGGTAACTGGAATCCCAACTGTATTTTTTATTCCTTTGCCACATAAGCAGATATTCATAGATGTTGGGTGAGGAGACAAGCACATCTTGGATCTAGGTGATATTGTTCTTTATAACATACTTAATAAATGTAAAGCCAGTGCGTGATTTGGGAAAAAAAACTTTATATATATATATACACATACATACACACACACACACATATATACACACATATATATACATACATATATATATTCCTTATAAAATAGGAATTTCATATTATTTGACGTTGTGCATTTAACTTAAAAAATTCACTCATTTTAGCTTGAATGTAGAAGCAAGACATTACTTTTTAATAATCACTATTTTTCTTAGCATGTTCACTGTCCTTTCATTTTGACATGCTATTCATGTGCAGTGTGTCAGAAGTGTGTCTATTTTTATGCAACTTTTGCACACCATTCTTCATGTATTCAAAATCAACACACATTAGCATTGCTAACACTATTGTACACACTGCACATAAGGCTTTGTATGAGCATCTGTCAGAGACTTCACCTTGTTGTTTATATTTTATCAGCAGTAATGACATTTACATGTGTAATTATAATGCAAGATAGGTGTAGCTTTGTTGAGATTGATCAGAACTAGAAATTGGATTGGGCGAACATAATCTTTTATGTATTTGAGGCCAAAGGTACTTAAATGGAGACTCAAGACATGGGCATAGAGGACAGGATAATTAAATAACATAGTGGTGTTCTTTCTAGAATTATCCTGTGAGTGCTGATGAGAAACTGCTGTGTCTATGCAATGTTCATGGGGAATTTAGTAAGGAACTATAAGCAGAAGAAGGTTGAGCCTGTACTCTTGCCAATCATGAGTTTTTCTCAATCGAACACCCACATACTAAGGTGAAAATATGTAATATTCTGAAAAAAGAATAAAATATAACCATACATACAATAAATAAAATATTTACTGAGATATGATGAACATCCTAGAAAATGCTGAGTATCTGAGTGGCTCCATTTAATAAGGAATTTGACAGTGTGGCTATAATTTGAACTGAAGAACAAAGATAAATAACCAGCTTTTTACTCAGGCACTTCCAATAAGAGAAATTTGTATCCATGTGGAAAATATCATGTACTTTTAATGCTTGCATTCACCTTTCTAGGATTAAAAATGACTACCTTTTTCTGAGGGTGTTCTTATATTTTCACTTTTTTTTTTTGTATTGTTGTTTGTTTTTAGCCAGTCAACCAAGGTTTTCTCCAGAGATGAGCCAATGGCATGCTCTTTGATGTAACTACTTTTGATGTATGACACCCTCTAATGCTATTTTAAACCAGTAATACTTTGGGCGAGTTTTGCTTCAGTCAAGAGACATACACAGCATGCTATAGAGTCAGTTGTTATTTTTCTTGAGTCTACTGACATAATTTGGAACTGTGACCACCTTCCCCCTTTCTTCTCCCCTTAGTTTTCATGTTAGTATACTATCGATAGCACTGTCTTTGGAAACAAAGGCTTTCTGTACGTTTTGTTCATGGGGTTGCTCATATGTTTGAATTCTGTCAGGAGAGGACAGCTCTTTTTTTTAAAATGGTTGTGTTAAATGTGTGAGTTAGAAATTCTATACAAGGCTAAAAGACCCAAAGAGCTGAAAGAACCCATGGATCTAGACCATGGTAGATGCAGGCAGATACATGGTTGATATATGCATGTGCACTCCATCTGCAAGGTTCTGCATCCTAAGTTTCCACTGCCTCTAAATATTTCCTCCCCATCAGCAAACTTACTTTTAAAGGCATCTTCAGTTTTTCTTATTAAAACATGGTCCTTCTAAGTTCATTCTTGTAAGCACTGCATTAAAATTCCCTTCATTCCTTTCCTATTCTTTCCCTTGCCTTCGGTAGCAACTTATGATTTCTTTGATCCCCTTGAGTAAAGTGCTGAAATATGTTTGGCTTTGCCTGAGATTTCTGACATTCAATTCCCTAAAGCTGAAATGTAATGGATCATATTTATCCAGGTGAGAAAGCTGTTCCTTTGGTATAGGTTGAGTTCTCCTTTCTCAATTATAAGCTAATCAAATAAATATTCAGTAGTTCTTGATTTGAATATATAATAACTCTGGGTTAGAGGAAAGGAAAATTGACTGTTTCCAAGCTGAGCGGCCTGTTGCTTAAGGCTTAGGATAAGGGAGGTTATCTAGAAATAAATAAGATTAATTTCTTGACTGGTTTCCTTTCCACAGTTTACTGATTAATTTTCCCAAACTTGGAGAGCTGCATGTAGTGAAGGTACTGTTCCTTTGTTTTAATTTTTAGAACTTACTAAAGCATCTTCCTGATGAAGAGCAATTGAATTCATTGTCCCAGTTCAGAAGTGACTATAACAACTTGTGCGTACCTGAGCAGTTTGCTGTTATGGTGAGTACTGTGTGTCTTTTTCCTAAGTCTCTTTGGTGGGAGTTTTCATTGTGCCAAACAAGAGAGAGAAAATAGAAAGCTTTTTGACAACACGGTTCTTATGAGCATTTAATGGTCATCTTGTTGTTTTTCTTTTAACCTGGAAGTATATTTGTGACAAATTGTCTTGATTTAAAATACTATATTTAAAGTAAAGTTGGGAATTAGATGAACTCTAAAGACCTTTTGAAAAGTGTATTTGTAAATTGTGTATATCATATCAAAATGTGAAACAAGCACACTTCTGATGAATATGATATATTTGTGATTTATTGTGAATCTATGCATTCTAACAAGCTGCAAGAGTCCATTTCTCATTTTAATCATCCACTTGAGTTCATCTCATGGTTTTTGACTCTGAAATTAGAAATATTGTCTTATTCTTGGCAATGAGAGACAAAACGAATTCATTTGAAAACAATCTCATCAAGTTGTCTCAATAATGATCTTGTTCCCTTTTTTTCGGTTTTCGTGAGCTGGGGCCTAGAGGTGAAAACACTTGGTGGTCTGCACAGTAAGCTGCATTGCAGCTCAAAGTTCAAAATTAATTTTAATATGAAACTCTCTCTCTGCTCACTTCTAGCACTAAGGGATCCTTCGTCTTTTGGCTGAAATTGTCATCCTGAATGACATTCTTTTTCACTGTTACTTAGTGTTTCCTTAAACAGTTTTCTTCACGGCCATACCTTTTACAACTTTCAATGCAATTTATGTGTCCAATAGCATTATAATAGAATGATTTGATATAATTTTGAACCAAAGAAAACTGGGGAAAAAAATTTAAGCTCTAGAACCCTTAAGAATCACTCTCTTGAATCGAGTCAGTTTAATATTTCTGTGTGAGGCTAGCCATGTCCAATTCCTACTGTGCTAATGGCCTACGGAATGAAAAAGATGGATTTTCACAGTTGCTGAATCATACCAGATTCTTTTGGAATGCAAAAAATGCTTCCTAATGGTGTCTTAAAGTTAGGATTTTTAAAAAGCAATGTTGGTTTTTGCTTATATCTTAGGTTATATTAATAGCCTCTGGGACTTAATGGGGTTATATTTGATATTTTGTTGACAATTGAAGTTGGCTAATTGTTTTAATGCCTATCTGCACTCCATATTTAATGTTTTGTCGGCTCTTTCCTTTAAACTTAGGGAACGAAGCAAATTTTCTTCATTATTACTGTCTTGTGATTTTTTTAAATTTTGTAACTTATACGCTTTAATTATTTTTTATTTTTAATAAACTTCATTATAAAATTTTTACAAATAAACACACACACACATACACACACACACACACACACACACATCAAAAGTATCCCAGAGCCAGTTAAAATAACCATTTAGAATAGATGTTGTATAGTTTATATTGGGTTTTCCACTTTGACATTTTTTCTTTTTGGTGTGACTAGACACTAGACAATAGGAAGTCTTCCTTTTGGATGATAGGTTGAGTATGCAATCCACCATGGTGGGGAAGTCATGGCAGTAGAAAGCTCGGAACAACTTGTGTTATATTCCATTCTATCCTCAATCAGGAAACTGAGCTGAGACGAGGAGAGGGTAGTAGGAGAGGCATGTTCGTTTCTTCCTTTAATTCAGCCCAGGACCTTGTCTCATAGAATGATCCTCCTTGTCTTTGTTATGTGTCTTACCATATCAGGTAAAGGAGTCTAGAAAAGGCCTGTTTAGGCAAGTCCAAAGAGTTGAATCACAGGTGGTTGTAGGTCCTATCAAGTTGATAGCAAGTGTATGAAAGTGCTGCACATTCCAAGCTTGGTCAGACATCTTTGCAAATGGCTGATGCCGTGGGAAGTATGTGCTGCTGGAAGCATTTCCTATGGATGCTGGGGACAGTGCTGCCACTGTGTGCTCGGTGTCACTCTTCTTGGTTGCACTATTCAGCTTCTAGGTAGTTTAGTTAGGTACAGATTTTGATGAAAAATGAATTGTTTTTATCTTTTATCTTTAACTCTTTCCAGTCTGGTTCCTTCCCCCAAGACCTCACATCACCCTGTCTCCCTTGTACCTGTCCTTTTCCACTCAATAAAAGGAAAGCCATCCTAAAGCCCTGAACTACTGTATATTGCAAGAGTTTCATTTGACAAAGTATATTAGACATCAGAGAGTGGTGGGTATTTTCTCTTCTGTCTGAATTTAAAGCTCGATCTTTGGTGGCTTACTAAGGAGCAATGAGCATGCAGCTTATCAACTTTATACGAACGATAGTTTCATGACTTTAGGAAACTGATTATAATCTTGCCTATAAACTGATTTTAATTTTTGCACAAAAATTTTAAAAAGATTCTTGAAGTTATCTCAAGTTCTTAGTTCTGACTTTTTATCTGACCATGAAAACATATTTACCTTTTTTGTTTGTTTGTTTGTTTGTTTGTTTTTGAGACAAGGTTTCTCTGTGTAGCTTTGCGCCTTTCCTGGAACTTGCTTGGTAGCCCAGGCTGGCCTCGAACTCACAGAGATCCACCAGGCTCTGCCTCCCGAGTGCTGGGATTAAAGGCGTGCACCACCACCGCCTGGCCATATTTACCTTTTAATGTTCCCTAAAGTACTGTTTGTTTTCTTGAGTGATCATCGCAGGTCAGAACTAAGGAATTAGTCAAGGAGCGCGCTAATCTTAGCTCGTCTTCTGCCTGCCTTGAACGGAGTCAGTTCTTGCTTTTTCATCTGGTTTGTGCCATATGTAACTGTTCTTGTCCTGTTTCTTCCCTTGGCCTCTGCAGACCGACACTGCAATTTAGGATTGATACAGTGCTCCCCTCTGCCCTCTCCCTGTTCTGCTTGCCGCCTTCTCCTTCTTTGCTGGGTCTCTCTACGAGTCCTAGTTCACTTGCAGTTTGCTATGTAGACCCCTAGGCCCTCCATTCAATTGTGCTGTGTTTCCTACTGACTCACAGGACCCCCTGCTAACCTACCCATTTTGACAAAAGTTATTTTAAAGTCTTGTTATGTTGCTTACTTGTGAGATTTATAGGTATGCAAATTCACTATTCTGATTCATACCAATTATAAACTTGATAAATAGCATTCTTAAGTGTATATCTAAACATCAGATGATGAACAAGTTCACTGAAGGTGTTAGCATTACACAATGAACTTCAATGTTCTACAAGAATTATGCAAAAACAAGATTCAGCTCTTCATGGAAGTTGTTTTCCATTGGTATCATTTAATCTTTGATTGAAATTCATGTGCAAAATTAGCATAGTCAAACTGTTAGGTACCAATGTCATTAACAGACAAATTAGTATGGACCAAATATATATATGGATTTTCTTATGTCATGTTAGAACACATGTCTGGTACACAAATTGACCATTAGAAATACTGTATGCAATCTCCTCTCAAGGTTTTGGTTGAGACCAACTGTAATATCTGTTGATATATTAACTATTTTGTTGATTCCCATCACATTTTATATTCCTGAAGATTTAACCCTATTTGATTTGTAAGAATTCTCCATCTTTCTGATAATACAAATTCTCATCTCTACATTTTATTCTCTCTTGAAAATGGAAGAAAAAATTTTAGTGCCAATACCACCTGTCTTTCCAACTATGAATTTACCTGAACATATAGTAGACATGGATTAATTATGGTACTAAGGATTTAGCTCTTCAGCTGATGTTTATAGTAATACACATACTAGGCCGCCTTTTGAACTAATTTTCCATCCTCTGCTATGAATGGGCACGAACAAGACAGCTTCCAAGATGTTCTGCACTTGGCCATTCATGGTGTGGTATGTAGTGACATGTGCTCATAGGTAGTAGAGATGCTTCTTAGAGAGTGAGTGAGTCCATAATGCTCGACCTTGGACTCAGAACCTCTGATTTCCTAAGCATGAACAAGAATAGCATTGAACTTCTTGCCCAGTTCT